TTCTCACTGTATTTATCAGGATGCAATGAAGTGGATTATTTTTCTTTTCCTTTTGCACCACACCCAGCAGTGCTCAGGGGGTACTCCTGGCTCTGCACTCAGGAATCACCCCTGACAGTGCATAGGGGGCCTTATGGGATGGTTGGGGTGGAACTTGGGCTAGACAGCTTACCAGACCTAAGCTCATGCTTTGTATATGGATCCCTGCATTCAGTTCCCCACCACATGGCCCTCTGAGAACCGCTCGGAGCCATCTCTGAGCACAAAACCAGGGAGTAGCCCTTGAACACTGCTGATTGTTTCCCAAACCAAAAATAAATTCATGTATGTATTTTGAAAAACCCAGAAGCGTCATCGAATCCTCCCTATAAAAGAGCCAGGATTTCCTGTTTAGAGGGATTCTTGCTGCTGGTTTGGGTAGGACCACCACCCCTGATTGCTCTCTAGCTGTGTTGCTGTGAAAAGCGCTTCCCCCTTCTGCATACTTCTCTGGCCCTCCCCACTCTCCCCTCACCCCCTCCCACTTCCTCTGGGTAGGGCAGGAGTGGCTACTTGCAGCCTGCCCAGCTGTCAGACTTGAGTCTCGGGTTAGAACCAAGCCTCTTGTTTCCTTCAACCTATTTTGAATCAGAGAACGGCCCTAGCACCCTTCCAGCTGCAGCTTAGTGATCTAGTGACCTGGGGGTCTGGAGCTGGAGAAATAGTGCAGGGGTTTAGGTGTTTGCCTTGCATGCAGCTGGCCCTGGCTTGGTCCCTGGCTCCACTTGTCGTCCCTTTAGCACAGTCGATGATCCCTGAGCATGGAGCTGAGAGGAGGTGTGGTCCCAAACCAGACCAAAAGCCAACAGAGGGAGCTCTGGAGTGCACCTGCCTTGGTGGCCTGGACTGATGTCTCAGTGCAGAAGAAGGGGGATGGTCAGGTGGGCAGTAACTTGTTTCGTCAAGCCCAGGACCTGACCCAAGTCAGGAATGTGCACTACTGCTGACCACCTCCACACCCTGGAGATCAGGGAACACAAGCATTAAGTGCCAGGCGGGCACATGAGTGGGCCAAAGGTCGCCCATCACCTCCCTGGAGCACCCCATGGTAGGATTGTGACTAATGGGTGCCCCTCTGTCTCAGAGTGGAGCCCTGAGCGGGAGAGGCTCCTCCCACAGCTGGCTCCGCCTCTCTGCTCCTGGAGCTGAGCCGACCTGAGCCCTGGGAAGCTGCTGCAGGAATGGAGAGACTTCCAGCGCTGTCCCTGTGCCTGCCCCACAGCTGGGATTTCCTCTACTTGGCGAGCGTGTGAGACAATCTGATGCTCTACGCTGGACACACATTTCCCATCTCCAGCGATTCTCGTGTCAGAATTGCTTTTTTTCCCTCCTCGTCTTCATCTCTACTGTTGAGGAGCGGTGCTGTGCCGGCAGCAGCTTGTCCTCCAGCCAGAGAGGTTGCATCAGATGGGTTGACCTCAGTCTGGGGCAGGAGAGAGCAGGAGTGCTGGGGCCAGATGGGGTACAGAGTCAGGCAGACAAGAACAAGCAGAAGCCTGTTCCGCTGGGTGCCCCAGGCCTCCAGAATTGGAGAAGGAAGAAAGTACCCCACCCTGGTCCAGCCTTCCCTGGGCTTCTAGCCTGCATAAGGTGGTCAGGGAGGAGAGCCTCCAACTCTCAGCAGCACCACACCCACCTACCAGCTCCACACAGACATTACCTTTGCCTCAGTCGCCCCCAATCCAGCCTGGTGTGTTTTCTCCTGGGAAAAGGCTGGTGTTGACACATCCCACTGCCCTTGTCCTATTGCTGCCTGTAAGTACTGAGGGCTGGTACAAACCATGAACAAGCAAGCATGTGTGGGAGCTATCCCTTTGCACAGGTGGGAAGGAGAAGACAGGACAGGAGGTGAAGGGAGGGACCTGGCCTTGTGGAGCTTAGAGCCCTGCAGGCTTGTGGGGGGCAGGAGCTGGAGCTGGTGAGGAGAGCTGGCTGAGGACGCCTCCAACACACCCAGGGGTGCCAGTAAAGAGCTGGACCTTGTGTGCTGGTGACCACCTTCGCATGCAGAGCAGGTGTCAATAAGGGTCCTTTCTTCCAGAGGGTGCAGGCAAGGGAGGGGAGTTCGGTCTCGGCTGTATTGTGTGAGGCTTCAGGGCTTCAGGTATTCACTTTCCTATGAGCTGGAGCAGGGGGATTCAGCTGGGTTGACACCGGAGGAAACTCAGGCACAGGGAAATTTGTAGACTGTCCCATTGCCACGCAGCAGTGTTGTAGGGCAACCAAACCCTGCCAACTCAGCAGCACGCCAAGACAAAGGGCTATGGGCAGGCGAGGGAGTCCTGGGCAGTGCTGGGGGCTGCAGGGAAGGGGGAAGATGCGAGGGAGAGTTGAGGGGGTGCAGGGAAGCCACAGTCAGGGAGGAGGGCAACAGCACTGAGCCTAGTTCTTGAATTGTGCAGAAGACTCAGAATCACTCAGAAAGCAAAGGAGATGGGGATGAGGAGTGTAAAGAGCATGGCGCAGGCAGTGGGGAGGCCTCCAAGGGGTGCTCCTGTTGGCTCAGAGAGAAGCCAGCTAAGCAGAGCTACACCCGACAGAGGAACTGCTTCTGTTTCAGAGGCGATTTGACTATTTTATCTAGTGATTTATTTCTAGCTGCTGCTAGCTCATTGCTCAGCACCTTTGTACCTGGGCCTCCTGCATGCAAAGCGTGCACTCTAGCCCTCACACCCATCACCATCTCTTTGTTTTTTTCTTTAGAAAACTCAAATTTTTCCCTAATTTTATTTTATTAAAGTCCGATGATTTACTAAGTCAGCCATAGTTGGGTTTTGGACGTCATGTTCCATCACAGGTCGCACCCCAGCATCCTACTCCCCTGCCTTCTTGACAGCTTTTTAACTTTGGTTATTAAAATTTGGGTCTCATGATTTCAGTGTTGTTGATCCTATGGTTTTTATATTTAGCTCTATCCACTGTAAAAGGTTGTTCTTAAAACAACTGTGTACCTTTTTTTAAAAAATTTTATTGAATCACCGTGAGGCAGTTACAAGTTTTCATGTTTGGGTTACAGTCACACAATGATCAAACGCCTGTCCCTCCACCAGTGCACATTCGCCACCACCAATATCCCCAATATACTCCCCTGAATTCCCCCTTTCCCACCCTCCCCCTGCCTCCATTGCAGACAGTATTCCCCATATTCTTTCTACTTTTGGGTATTATGGTTTGCAATACAGACACTGAGAAGTTATCATTTTTGGTCCTTTATCTACTTTCAGCAACTGTGTACCTTTCTTAAGCCAAGTCTGTTCTTAATACCTTGATGCCAACAGGCAGCAGGAGCAAAGAACAGTCTTCCCTTGCCCTGAGAACTCACTTTCAAGCCACCTAGATTGGCTTATTGAACATTGAGCGCTTCCAGAAGCTTCTGTGAGCCTGCACTAATATAGTCAAGGAGACTGAAGCACCCAAAGGCCAGGCCCCCTAATGAGCGAGTCGCAAGCACCAACGTGAAAACAGCATGCCCGAGTGGCCACTGCCCTCCACTCCTGAAACCCTCTGTATGAGCCCACCCATACGGAGGTTTCCACAAACTCCCTGGGACTTAGTTTGCTTTTATTTATTTCTTCAGTCAGCTTTGACACCTTGAGGTACTCAGGAGATAATGTGAATAGAGCTCAAGACATGAGCTTCTAGTCCACTGAGCCATCTCTCTGGCTTCCAATGTAGGAACATTTAGAAGAGTGGTTTTAATGGCAGTTTTAATCACATAATCACAGGATCGCAATAGAATTTAAGCGGATGCATTTGTGGTATTGATGTACCAAGTTTCTGCACACCATTGCCTCCGAAGTGACCATGACCCTCACCCCCATCCCAGGGTCACCTTTGGTCTGAACTTTCTTCTCCCACCCCCCATAATCCCACTATTTGTTAGCTGAAAGTTATGGTTTTGGCACATATGACCTCTCCTGTCATCATCATGTGTATAGGAGCATTATTTATTTGTTTTTGGTTTGGGGACATATGTGGTTGGTGCTCAGGGATATTGTCATTGTTCCTAGGAACTGACCGAGGGCTCCTTCACACAAAGCAGTGCTAGGCAGCAACCTCACCCCACCTTTCTGTTACTGCTATCACTTCTGTGATAACTGGAGTGACACACTTGGATACAGTGCTTAGGGCCCCCAGATGCTCATGTTCATGGAACACACAGAGATCACAGACTTCTTTGCACCAGGGACCCAAGTTGCAGAGCTAAGATGATGGCACTTTGGTATGTGGGGTGGTGTTGGGGATCGAACTCAGGGCCTCATGGCCTCACACTTGCAAGACAGGTACTCTGCCACTGAGTTTTCTCCAGTGGCCCAGTAAACACTTTCATTTCTGATTCAGAGTAATAGATATTGGGGGCAGAGGGCTGTGTAATCAAATATTTTTTTTAAAGAGGAAAATGAAAATCCTGTTAAATCTTTGAGAAATCATTGTTCCAGTTTTTCTTCTATCAAAACACATATGAAACTACTGACTAACACACAGTTTTTGTGATTTTTGGATTGGTTGTGCTTAGGACTTACACCTGGCTCTGTGCTCAGGGTTTATTCCTAGTAGTGCTCAGGGGACCCGTGCTGGGGCCTCAAACAAAGGTCAGGCACATGTACTGCAAGCACCTTAACTCTTGTATTGCCTATCTTGCTGGGGGGTGTTGGTACAGGGGGGTAGGGTTATCTATGCATATGGAAAGGGGTCAGAGGGTAATGAAGAAGGCTGTACTTTCTGTTCTTCTAATTTTCTTGTGAACTTGAAACTGCCTAAAAATGGTTTATTTAAAAGAGGGGATACCCAATGCCGCGGCCACTTTTCTCCCTCTCCGAGGTCAGTGAAAAATCGACCCTGGGACACCACCTTCCCCGCGCCCAGGCCCCAGGCGTCCTCTTGAACCCTGGGCCGCCCAACCTCCCCGAGCACCTTCCTGTTTGTCCCCAATACTGCGGTCACTTTTCTCCCTCTCCCAGATCCCCATAGGCGGCATGGCCACTGCAGAAATGGGCATGGCCTCTGAAGAAGTGGCCGTGGCTTATTTTGGGGCCGCAGGTAAATTACCCATACCTGGCAACCCTTGTGTCACATCTCAGTCTCCATAACACCACAGCAACATGAAGAAACAGTGTAAATCCCCACCACGAGGAGAGGACGATGAAAAGAGTCCAGAAGCTTCAACAGGTGTTACTCACAAATGTGAGCTCTCCAATAAAGAATTCAGAGATGAACTATTGAAGATGTTCAATGAACTCAAAGAAACGGAGGGACAGATATCCAGTAAATTAAAGGAGACCATGGAAGAAAAAATGGATTGGGAAATCAAGAAATTACAGGAAGAAATGAGAGCAGAAATTGAAAAGAATTCGTGCACAGAAGTGTCACGAATAAAGGATTCGGTAGATGAAATAAAAAACTCAGTGTGTTCCCTCAACAGTAGAATGGCTACAGCCAAAGACAGAATCAGTGAACTGGAATATGAGCTGCAGGAAGCCTACAGGTAACAACAAACCATGGGAAGAGACCTCAAAATAGCTCTAGAGCGAATCAGAGTCCTAGGGGATTATTTCAAGAGGAACAACATTAGAATCATTGTAGTACCAGAAGGTCAGCGAAGCAATCCCAATGAAAAAGCCGCAGTTAAAGAAATCATTGCTGAAAAGTTCCCTGAGGTGGACAGTGCAGGCATCCAGATTCAAGGAGCTTGAAGGGTGCCAGCTCAAAGAGACCCTAACAAAAACACTCCAAGACATCCATCATAGTTAGAATGATGGATGCCACGGATAGAGACACAATACTGCACACAGCAAGTTCAAAGAAGGAAATCACATACAAAGGAGCACCCCTTAGATTCATAGCAGACTATCAGAGGAAACTGTCCAAGCCCGAAGGCAGTGGTGGAATATAATGAAAAAACTCACTGAAATGAACGTTTCACCAAGAATACTCTATTCGGCTAAACTCACACTCAAACTCAAAGGAATTGTACACTATTTTGTGGACAAACAACAGCTCAGTAACTTCATAGACTCAAAACCAAACCTAAAAGATGGGCTAAAGGGACTACTGTAAGGCAAGACAAACCCCTAAAAGCACAACGAACCCTTACAGAAAGATGACACAAAACCCCATGACAATAATCTCTCTCAATGTCAATGGTCTAAATTGACCAATTAGGAGACACAGAGTGCAAAATGAATTCAGAAACAGAACCCAACATTCTACTGCCTACAAGAAACACATCTGAACAGTCTGAACAAACACAGACTCAAAGTCAAAGATGGAAAACAATCCTGCAAGCAAACAATCCCCTTAGAAAATCTGGGGTGGCCTTACTAGTATTGGACAACATAGATTTCAGGTTGAAAAAGATTAGAAGGGACAGTGAAGGTCATTTTTTATTAATCAAGGGATATGTACAGCAGGAAAAATATCACACTCCTAAACGTATACGCACCCAATGAAGGACCAGACAAATACCTACAACATCTGCTAACAGACCATAAGAAGGACATTGCGAGCAACACAATAGTACTTGGAGACTTCAACACCGCCTCATCGCCTCTGGATAGATCAAGAGGATTAAAACTCAACAAGGAAATAATGGCTCTGAAGGAAGAAATAGAAGAGAGAGGGCTAATAGATCTATACAGGACTTTATATTCCCCCCAAAAAAGAATGCGCATTCTTTTCAGTGCACATGGAACATTTTCTAGAATAGACCATATGCTGGGCTGCAAAGCATACCTCAACAGAATCAGGAAGATAGATATTGTATCAGCTATCTTTTCAGACCACGATGCACTGAAGATAGAAGTTAAACATGTTAAGACACAGAAAACCAAATCAGACACCTGGAAATTAAACAACTCAATGTTGATCAACAAGTGGGTCAGGAAATGAATCAAGAAAAATCAAAAGATACCTGGAAACAAATGAGAATGAAGACACGAGCTATCAGAATCTGTGGGACACAGCTAAAGCTGTGTTAAGGGGAAAATTTATAGCTCTGTAAGTATTTCTCAGGAAGGAAGAAAGGGCCTGCTTAAACAACTTGACTTCACAGCTCAAGATCTTAGTAAAGGACCAACAAAAGGAGCCCAAACCAGGCAGAAGGAAAGAGATCATAAAACTTAGAGTAGAAATCAATGACATGGAAACCCAAAAAACAATCTGAACGATCAATGAAACCAAGAGCTGGTTCTTCGAGAAAATAATGAAAATTGATAAACCACTAGCGAAACTCACAAGGAAAGAGAGAGAGAGAACTCTAATAAACCAAATCAGAAATGAAAAGGGGGACATCACAACAGAAACCAAAGAAATTCAGAAGATCATCAGAGAATACTTTGAAAGTCTGTGTGCCACAAAACAAGAAAAACTAGAAGAAATGGATAAATTCCTGAATTCCTATAATCTCCCAAAGTTGAACCAGGAAGATCTGGAATACCTGAATAGACCTATTGATATCAAGGAAATTGAAACTGTAATCAAAAGTCTTCCCAAAAACAAAAGCCCAGGTCCAGATGGATTCACTAGCAAATTTTTCTAAACATTTAAAGAGGACCTATTGCCAGTTCTTCTCAAGAGTTTCCAGGAAATTGAAGAAGCAGAAACTCTCCCACACAGTTTCTATGAGGCTCATATCTCTCTAACACCAAAAAGAAACAAAGACACAACAAGAAAAGAAAACTACAGGCCGATATTCCTGATGAACACAGACGTGAAGATTCTCAATAAAATACTAGCTAATAGAATTCAACAACTCATTAAACCTCTCTGAAGGTTCCCCCACAATTCCCCCCTTCACAGGGTCAAGGGACCACAGTTCTTGTTTTCTAGCTGGGGTGGAATCCAGCCTGTGAGCAGGTGTAAGGTCCCTGTGGAGTCCCCACTTTCTCTGCGCAGTTTCTGACAGCTGTCTATAAATCCTGCTACTCACATACTTATAAGTGAAAAAATTTTCTTAACTAACAGTGCCACTTAATCCCCCATAACTCAGGGCTCACTTGCAATCTCATTAGCAATTGCAAGGTGGCAGTGGAGTGTGCAGGGATGAAGCAGGAGAGGCAACTCCAGTAGTTTTCACTGGAAATTACTTTCTGGAAAAGATCCAACAGAACAGCCATTGGCTTTCTACTGGCCTATTGTTGAGCTAAACTATGACCAGTTCATGAAGTAATCAAGGGCTGAAGCCACTTGACTCGTGGTAAATGCTTTTCTCTCCTTTGTTCAGCATCAGAGGCACAACTGTGTGATAGTTCTCAGCACCTATTCCTTCGTATGCATTTTTCTCTGCTCATCTTCACAATAACCCTGAGGGAAAAACAGGGCATATTCTCTTTCCCATTTTAGATTCCCATGACACAGCAGTCTCCAAAATCAATTCCAGTCCATTAATTAATGAGTTTACATACAAAATCTATATGAACTCTGGAGAAGGGAGTACTGGAGACTCTGAAACTTTTTGGGGGCATGAATAATTTTTTTAAAGCACTGTTAAAAAACTCTGCCATGTGGGCAGGTTACATTCGGTAGCCTGCCAGGTTGTCCAAAGCAAGAATGAGATAATAAGATGTTGCGTGGCCGCAAATGCAGCGGCGCACTTTCGGGAGCTGGGTTTTATAGTCTCTGGGTCTTGGCCGTTGATGGGATTACACGGCGATGGGGGCCAGTTGGTGGCTGTGACCCCCGCCTCCTGGAAGATGGAAGATCTGGGTGGAGGATGCTCAGCCCCAATCTGAGCAGGCTTGGAGATCTCAGCCCCTGGACCCCCATCCTTTGTTCCTCTTCTGGTACCTTCATGCGTGTGAAGAGTGGTCTCAGCATGATTGTGGCTGGTTCTGGAGGTCTGCGGCTGCTGGGGCTCTGCTTGGGGTGGGGAGGGAAACTCAACCCACCCCCCTCCAAGGGGCCACGGGGAGGAGCCAGGCGCGGGGGCAGGAGACTCTGTAGGAGACCAGTAACAATGATGAGTCTCATTCTCCTAAGCCTGAAAGAGCCTTGAATGTGGCACTTTTTAGAATCTCAGGGCTAGGACGAAGGAGACGTTACTGGTGCTTGCTCGAGGCAATCGACGAACAACAGGATGATTGTGATCGTTATCATGTTAAAAAATATGAATGGGATAGATAGTACAGGGGTTGAGGGGCTTTGCTTGCATGTACCCAACCCTTGGTTTAGCCAACCCTGGTGCCACCTACCAGGTATGGTCCCCCAAGCACCATCAGGAGTGACCCTTGAGTGCAGAGCCAGGAGTACCTTGAGTACTGCTGCATGTAGCAGGGCCCTAATTTTTTTTTAAACACAGGTAAGAGGTAAAAAAAAAAAGAAAATATAAATATAAATAGGGTCTGGACAGAGTGCAGGGGTTAAGGCACTTGCCAGGCCCACTCTAGTTCAAGTCTTCGACACCACATGGTCCCCAGCACACTCCAGGAGTGATTCATCAGCGCAGAGCCAGAAATAAGCCCTGAGCACCACCAGATATGGCCCCCAAAGCTTAAAAAAAATACCCAAATGGACCTGTTTGCTGAGGGATATTAGTACAGGGAGGTAGGGAGTTTCCAGGCATGTGGGAAGGGGTTCAGAGGGTAATGAGGAAGGCTATACTTTCTGTTCTTCTAATTTTCCTGTGAACTTGAAACTGCCTAAAAATGGTTTATTTAAAAGGAAGAATAATGTTAGTGAAATGATACTATAAATATAGCAAAGAGACAAAATATTTGCAGCACAGCCAATGTAAGATTGGTATCCAGAATACATGAAGAATGCTAAGAATAGATAAGAAAAAAGAAAGACAAGGAAAATGCTGCCAAGTGTTTTGAAAAAGTAAAATATAAATAATAAATAAAAGTAAAATATAAAAAGGTGCTTGAAATGTAAATAAAAATTACAGTGAACTTTTACTCACACTTGTGGGAAAGTTGGGAGGGAAAGCAGGGAAACAATAATTCCGATGTTCTGTTGGTGGGATTCTAAATTGGTGCAGCCTCACTGGAAAAGAGCTTGGAGATTCCTTTAAAAAATAAAAATAGAAGTTACATGTGATCTTT